GCACTTTACAGGGATAATTCAAATTATAATTGAATACTTGCGTGTATCATTCTCATAATAGGTAACCATAAACGAGCAGACCATTTATCTTGGATGATTTTTCTGCGCTTAATTTTAAAATAAGATCAGCGTTCATTACCTACCTAATATCCCATCGAAACAGGAAGACACATTCTTGTCATCAATTTGTATTTCTATAGTCAAGAATAAAGATGGCTTGCGATAATTCTTGTGTGGATAGACTATTGATACGGCGTCAATGCTTGGCTGGCTACTCGGCAAGCCAATCTGAAAAATCATGTATAATGAAGGATCAATGAATGCTGGATAATTTAAAGATTACATTAGAAAATGGCTGATCTTAAAATCGTGTCCACATGTATCCGGATCGACTTGATTGATTCTCTAAATATGAAATTTAAATTTGAATCACTATTATTTTCATAATGTGACTGCGGGCTCAGAAATTATTTTCTTGTATCACACTATCTAGTATGTATTTGTGTTACCTCGAAATATGCCAGAATCTATACCTTAATCTGATTTGGATATTAATCTTATGGCAAACTTTTTTTACCACATGTAAAGAACCATCAGGGTTTTTACGTGATGGATATGAATGGAAGGATGGAACATAAAATCTTCTTTCTTCTCATTTGGCTTGATCGAGGGATATTTTTTCTTGGAGAACGAAATTTGAGGAAAGTTTGATTTCTTGAAAACAAATTTCTTTCTTGATTTTCTTCATAGGGATATTTGCCCGACATAATTTCTGTTTCAAAGAGAGAAGGTGGATTTGAAGAATTTGACCGTGTGATGATGACGATATTTTTTGGAAAGAGTTTTCCTCCTAGGAAACAGAGAGCCGCCTTCTTCATTTATTCAGAAACTTCTTTTTTTGAGGACTTGAAAAAATTCTTCTGTCCCAAATTTAAATATATATATATCTTTTTATATATATAGATATATATATATATATATATATCGCATAGTAAGCATTAAAAAATGGTTCACTATAATAATAAACTGAAATTATATATGCTATTTATTTGGAATACCTACTGCTATTATAATGATAATAGAAGAACGATGATGTGCGGAAAGTAAAGGGAGAAATCATAGATAATAAAAAACAGAGGCAAGTAACAATAAAACAACAATAACAAAATTAAATTGTTTTTTCTCAATATTATAAATGGTGAAAAAATGTCACTTCACCTAACCAATGAGAGACTTGTCCACAGTGTAGTTCTTCTTTTGCGGAGAAAACCACCAAACCCAATGCAGTTTGAATGAATGATTGTTTGATTTCTTCCTTCTGGCAATTTCAAGACTATTAATTGGAAAAAATTAAAAAAGAAAAGCAAAAAAAAACTCGATTGAAAAGAATTTTTGAATAATTGAAAAGTGAA